TAGTATGAGACATGTCTTTATGATTTCTTTGAGAATGAGTTATTAAAATTATAAGTTTGACAACACAAAATATAATTTTAAAAAGTGTTTTAGTTGTAGTTGGACACAATACTTTTATTTATTTATTTTTATGTGGTGCTGAGGATCCAACCCAGTGCTAGGTGAGTGCTCTACCTCTAAGCCACAATCCCAGCCCCCAAAATACACTTTTAATAAAAGCATAAAGATTTTATGTTATGTTTTAAAATTATCTCCTAATCTCAGGTAACAAATATGCTCTATTTTTTTTCTAATTTTATCTTCAAAAACTCCTAAAATTTTGCTTTTCACATTTGTCTTTAATCTGCCTAAAATTGATGGCAAGTTGCTAAGTAGTAGAAGGTCTAAAACTCTTATTTCACAAATTAAAATGTCCGGCCTCTCCATACTGACTTGTAGTTCTGAGTTCCTCATGGGCCAGGTTCATTTCGATATGTGGTATGTGTCTGCCTCTGGGCTCTGTATCCTGTCTGTCTGTTTCCACTCACCTCCCTGAAGGTCACCTGCTCTTCTTCAACACTAGGTTAGCTTTTGTAGACTCTGCCCTGTCAAATGATGTTTATTTATTAGTTTGTCAAGTTTCATGAAGCACTCAGTGGGATTTTTTATTGGAATTGCATTAAATTTATATTTATAGGTTAACTTTGTTGAAATTGACATGTTGTAAAGATGAAAAACTTGCAGTGATGAGTCACCTCATTCATAGATCTATATCTCTTCAATCAACCTTTTAAAATGTCCTTTAATGTTTTAAAAATTCTACATCACATGCATACACATTAACTTTTTAAAATTCATTCCTAGATACCTCATAGCTTTTGATGTTATTTTGACTAGAACAATTTTGTTTTCTTTTTTAAAACTAACTATTGTTTTCATCTAGGGGTGTTTTTGATTTTTATAAGTGAATACTGTTTCACACTAACTTTTTAAACTTTCCCACTGATTCTTAGATTCCCATGTAGACAGTGATGTCAGAAAATGAGGATAATTTTTGTCACCCTTTCCAGTTCTACTACCACTTATGAGTTTTTCTTGTCCTATTGCTAAAGCAAGTCTTCTCATACAGTGTTGGGATGTGAGAGCATTATTACCTTCTTTTTGATATTTGCAGGAATATTTTGCCATTAAGTATAATGTTTGCTGTGGGATTTAGATAAGCACTTATCCTAGTAGGATTTTATTACAAATCCTTGTGAATATTGAATTTTATTGAATGAATAGTATGCCTTTAATGAAATTAACTTGATTTTACTCTGTGTATTCATAATGTGGTGAATTATATTAGCATTCTGATTTGAATCATTCAAAACATGACCAGAGGGCTGGGGAAGTGGCTCAAGTGGTAGCACGCCCACCTGGCATGCACAAGGCACTGGGTTCGATCCTCAACACCACATAAAAATGAAAACGATATTGTGTCCACCTAAAACTAAAAAATAAATTTTTTTTTTTTAACAAAAAACATGACCAGAATAAAACCTGCCTGGTCATGATGTTTTATTTATCTAAGCACTGGTGAATTTTCTATCTTTGTATCTTTTTAGAGAAATTTTCATGCATGTTCATAAACGACAGTACTATACAATTTCTTTTACTATCTTTGTTCAGTTTTGATATATGACAATATTTAAATGGTTATTTCATAAAGTCTTCCATCACAAAATGTTTTGGAATATAATTGAGACTTTGTTATTTTTCCTTTTTGGTAGCCAAATGTCTCTTTCTCCACACTAAATTAGAAATTTAAGCCTCTGCTTTGCTGCCTGGAATAAATGGTCAGGAAACTGAGATAGACAAAGGTACCACTTTCCCCATTTGGACCAGCCCCTTAAAGTCCCCAAACTTTTTGGGGCAGGGGATACCAGGGATTGAACTCAGGGGCACTCACCCACTGAGCCACATCCCAGCCCTATTTTGTATTCCATTTAGAGACAGGGTGTCACTGAATTACTTAGCACCTCGCTTTTGCTGAGGCTGACTTTAACTCGAGATCCTCCTCTGTCAGCCTCCTGAGCTGCTGGGATGACAAGAGTGTGCGCCACCACGCCCAAATCCAACCGTGTTTCCTAAGTGATTTTCTCTTCCACCTTCCATGGCCTCCCACCCTCTTCTACCCCCGCCCAGCCTCAGTTGCTCTCTGTCATGCTGCCCTCTTCATTTCCTTCCAGTCATATGATACCATGTGACAGTATGCTGTTTATTGTCATCTGTGGTCAGAACATAAGTACATGTTTCTTGCATGGGGCCTTTGTCCGTCGTCTTTACCCCATAATCTCAGCGCTTCTATCCACACCTAGAGGGGGAGCCTTGGGTATTGCTAGTTGAATGGCAAGCTGACAGGCGGGTAGGACAGCTTTATTGGGACAGTGGCCCCGGTATAAAAGCATGAGGGAAACCCATGGCCTTTTCCTCACCATTTCCATTCTTATTGTTTTCATCCTATTCTAGAAAAGGGCTGTAAAGGACAGCTGGGCAGGTAATACCAACAAGGCCTCTCGGGTGGGCAGGACCATGTTGAAGACTGGCCCTCAGCCTCCTTGAGTCAACCAGGGAAGAACTGCTTCAGTAGATGTGTTTGCAGTAGAGTGCAGGACAGGACTCAGCCCCGTGCTAGCCACAGCTGAGCATTAGTTAGGAGCTGTGTGGCCTAAGATGAACGACCATTTCTTTATGGGCCGTGGTTTCCCTCCCGGCTCTGTGGCTCTTGGGGCAGGGAATGCCAGTCATTTGCTCACAGGTGAGGTTCCACCTGGAGCCTGGTGAAGAGTTCCTCCCCCCAGCACTCTACTCTGGGGTGGAATTAATACATGGAGGGAGCATGATGAGCCTAACAGAGAGAACACCAGGAATTAAATATGCCAAGGAGTGTCTCTGTTAAGCTCCAAGAAGGAGCGTGATGGAGTCTGCTCGAAATTCCTCTCTGCATAGAAAGAGGAAATTTCTATTGAGAGATCCAGACATAAAACCGCCACCCGCAGCACCCCACCCTCCAATCAGGGAGGACACGATAACTCCAAAACACAGTATCTTTGGCTGTCCTTTGACTTCCACCTTCTCTCTTACCTTGTGAGTATTCAGAGTTCAACTATCTTTAATTTAACCAACCCATCCTTCTATAAAAAGATAATGATATAAACATCAGCAGTAATTTTTTCACATTAAAACTAATCTTTGCCAGGCACAGTGGTGCACACCTGTAATCCCAGCAGCTTGGGAGGCTGAGACAGGAGGGTGACGAGTTCAAAGCCAGCCACAGCAAAAGTGAGGCACTAAGCAACTCAGTGAGACCCTGTCTCTAAATAAATAAAATACAGAATAGGGCTGGGATGTGGCTCAGTGGTTGAGTGCCTCTGAGTTCAATCCCCAGTACCCCCCCCCAAAAAAAAAATTAACCAAGGAGATATTTTTTGTAAGACTGTTGGGAAGAATGTTCAAATTGGGACTGTCCTAAAAGATCCTTTCAAAGTGTAAAATTCAGCAGTAGATTTCAAAGTAATGGCACAGCCTATTGGTAAGGCTTCAAACTCCAGAAACCCTTTAACAAACCCCACTTACTGAGTCTGAGTAGAATATCAAAGAAGAATATCCACCCTTATCTGAAAAGTCCATTAAAATAGTCCTCCCTTTTCTAACAACATGTCCACGTGAGGCTAGGTTTTTTTCCAAAGACCACCCCCCTTCCTGCCACAACAGCTTGCAACAGGTTGAATGGAGAAGAGGGCAAATTCAATAAAAGGGAGAGGAAATAAAGTTAAAATCTCCTCCAGAAAAACAGAACAGTAAATAAGAAGATGGTTTAAAGAAGAGGATGAATAAGAAAAATTTGAGACTTAGATCCGGAGATCCCAAATGTGAATAACATGACCTTCTACAGTGTGGGGGTGGAAGCATCTAAGACAGGAGCCAGGAACAGAGGCTTTTAAGCTTTTTGGTCCTAGGATCTGTTACATGTTTAAAAATGATTAAAGACACCCCAAAAGCTGCTTTTGTTTGTTTTTTAATGTTTTGTTTACCGTGTTAGAAACTAAAACTGAGAAATTGTTAAAGCTTCAGTTTGTGTAATAATATATTAAACCCACAAGTTTAAGGAAAGTAATTTTACTACTTTTTTTTTTTCACAATGTTGATGTGCTTTGGAATTGTTTTACATTTTCACAAATCACCTTACTCTGACCTAAGAGGACACAGAATTCTCATACCCACGCCTACTTTCAGTCTGTCCTAATATAGAACATCGAATAGCCTCTGGAAGAAGCCTCTGTACTCTTTTGATAGAGGGAAAGTAAAAACCCAATAGCATCTCAGCATTTTTATGAAATAGTATCCTGTGTTCTTCCTGAGGCAGGGTCCCTGGACCACACTTGGAGATCAAGATCTGTTCCCACGTGCTTGAATTGACCCAGTATGTGAACAGGACCCACCGTAAAGCCCACCAACTCAAAGCTTCAGAATAACATTAACAAAGACATAATTCTAAAAGCTTCCAGAACTGCAAAACAAAAAACAGGTCCTATGGAATCTTGATGGGGCATCAGAATGATAGTGGACTCTCAGTAGCACTGTTGGAATTTACAAGGCAACAGACAGCCCTTTGAATGCTCAGAGAAAATGACTTCCAACCAAGAATTCTTTTTTTTTTTTTTTTTTTTTTTTTTTTTTTTACCAGGGATTGAACCCAGGGATGCGTAACCCCTGAGCCGCATCCCCAGCCCTTTTTACATTTTATTTAGAGGCAAGATCTTGCTGGGTTGCTTAGGGCCTCACTAAGTTGCTAAGGCAGGCTTTGAACTCTCCATCCTCCTGTCTCAGCTTGAGCCACTGGGATTACATGTGTGCACCACCATGCCCAACTCCAACCAAAAATTCTGTATCCACTGACATCATGGACCAGTGTGAAGAGAGGAACATGTTGAAACAGGAAGAGTCCCAGAAAACTGTCCTCCTTTTACCTTTCTCAGAAAGCTGCTGGGTATTGTCACCTCTCAAAAGCAGGGATACATAGGAACTGGCCCCTAAGAAGCAAGGATCCAGCACAGGAGATAGGCCGCAGACATCATCAGGAGGCTGTTGGTGAGCATGTCCAGCAGCTGGAAGAAGAGCATGTGCAGGACAGGGCAGGCTGTGGGCTCCAGGAGGGAGACCACAGGAAAGACGCGTAACCGGTGGGCTATTGGATGATCTGTCCCAGTGGGTGAGATTTATACTGCTGGCCCACTGATGAAAATCATTGGTGCGCACTTTGAAAACAAAGCAAAAGCAAAAAAAAAGAGAGAATTTTAACTCCAGGGAAAACATGGTTCTACAAGAAGGAAAAGAGATCCTGGTGTCTGCCAAGAGATTAAACTGGGAAAACTATTTCCAGAGTCTTAAAGATACAAATTCAGACATTTAATCTCATGAAGCTACAAAAGAGAACTGATGGAGATGATGGCAGGAGGAGAAGTTTGGGGAAAATAATATAAGCAAGAAATAGCTGCAACTGAAAAATAATGGAAATCCACTCTTAATATTCATAGAAATAGGGACGTGCCTAGCAGGAGCAGCTGAAGGGTTGAAAATGTTCTCTGCAGTGGCCCATCAAGAATGAGAAGCACAAAGCAACAAAGTGTTAATTTTTAATCCCTATAGAACTCTTTTTTAACTTTTATTAAAATTTAATGTACTATGTATGACATTAGCAAAGACATAATGTCATACATAGTATATTAAAACAAATATTCAGCATATTAAATTACATATTAATACAATTTAAATGGAGTGCAATTTGGAAGTGTGATAATATTTATACTGAGAATGACCTTTGACCCAGCAACTCCCCTTACAGAATTTTATCAGACATTGGAAGATTAATTAAATGAATTATGGCATAGCCACAAAATGAAAGACTGAGCAGTTACTTAAACTAATGACACTGTCACTAAAAATTAATATAAATTTATATTTGAGGAGAGCGATTTTCCCCCCTGGCATGTCTCAGTTGTTAGTGTGATTTGTCACTGAATGTCTGACTTCCAGTGCATTGGAAGCTCTAGAGATCAGGCACCATATGTCATTATGCTCACTGGTGTGTTCTGAGGGCCTGGCCCTACACCGGGTACCCAGGCAGTTATTTGATAAATGAGTGAGTGCTTGTGAGCATTTGTGCAGCCAAAGACAAAAGTCTAGAAAACTGAAATTTTAGGCAGGGCTTATCTCTGGTGGGAGTTTCCCAAACTCTATTTCAATCCTTGCTCTGCTATGCCTTTGGACAAGCCCCTTTATCTAATTCTTTCATACAAATGGCAGAAGGCCTTCAGTTATCCAGTTCTATGATTCCTTGTAAATGCATTAGAAATGTTTAAAATTTTAAGTTTGTAAAATGCCCTCAACCAGAAGACTCCATCTAATCCTTCCTGGGTTTTTGTTTGTTTGTTTGTTTTAAAGTGAACTTCTGCAAGATTTGGAAAACTGTGAAAATGATCCTGTGGCCATCGCAGAATGTTTTGTCTCCAAGGTAAGCAGGTCTCATTTCTCTGGGCCAGCCAAGGCAGATAGTATGGACTGTTTCCATTTTAAAGTTAGAATGGCTGGTTCGTTCCATGCACACTCTTTTATTCCCCGCCCCCCATTTGTTTCAGTAGGAAAGAAAAAAAAAAAAACACTGCTATGGGAAGAAGAAGAGGCTGACTTAGTAGTTGTCCTGGAACTTGCGTAGTAACTGGAGAATGTTACTCTTTCCCAGGAAAGACTTGAAGCTTGGAGGAGGAGAGTCTAGAGTAGAAAAATGTTAGAAAAATAAATACATATAACACACCACTAAATCTGCTATAAAAATACATTAGAATCTAAATGTTTTCTATGAAATAAGTGTGGTACTAGCCTGGTCTCTATAATTATCTTTTTTAAAAATATTTTTTAATTGTCAGTGAACTTTTTTATTTATTTATATGCAGTACTGAGAATCGAACCCAGCGCCTTGCACATACTTGGCAAGAATTATACCACTGAGCCACAACCCCGGCCCTTATAATTATCTTTTATGGGATAAAAAGCAGCAGAGTGATTTCTACACCTTAAAATGCACTCATTTTCCTATATTTTTCTTAAGCGCTGTTAATGCTTAGGAAAACACTGGGAGCAGATTTGACTTAAAGCTTACCCAGCAGTGAGCTCAGGCTCTGAACTTGGAAGCAGAGCATGTTCCGAGACATGCTCAGCAGCCCTTGACTGTGTTTCTTTCTCAACATGCTACCTGGTAGAGATAGAAACCTATCTTGTTTAAGTTTCTCTTAAAAATTCAACAGCTTTTGTTTGGAAAACCTCTGGCAGAAACTGTGTTTCAGCAAAAGTTTGTGTGGTTTCTTCAGTTGTGTAAAGGTTTGAAATGTACAAAGGTTTAAGCAAAGTTCATGAAGGTGCTTGGAGACCAGCGGTGAATTAGCACCTCATTGGGAGCCTCAAGTCCAATGTGAACTTGGGATGTTGTCCCAGCCTGACCTGGCTCCAGACTTGTTCCACAAGGTCATTTCTGTTGACTGTAGATCCTTCCAGATGGCTTTGAATTCAAACATAACACCCTGTTGAAGTTCTGTAAAGACCATTGATGATCTTGTGTGTAAATTCTCCTGCCTTTGCATGTATCTGTGTGTGTTCATGTGTAACATGTTGTACACACATGCTTAAACACACAGATACTCTTCAAAGTTTCCAGGGTCATAATTGATTCTCCGAAAGGTAGGAATTTTAAAAAGAGGGGAAAAAACTGGAAAGGAGAGAAATGGTAACAAGATAGTCTGAGTATATCAAAGGAGATATGTTAAAATAACCGCAGCACATAAACAACATAGAAGCTCTCGGAAACATTTGGCTTTTACTGGTAACTGTAATCACAAACTGATTAAAGATGTTCCAGCATACGCTTAGCTCTGGCTTAATTATTCACATAAAAGTTTGTTTATGTGCCTCCTTGCCAACTCCCAAATCTTATTTTTCATTGTAACATTGCCAAGTTCAATTAGAAGACTGACTTCAGCTCTCCACACTTGCACGTGGAAGCAGGGAATCGTGAAGTTCTGGCATAACCTGCTTTTCACTCAACACTCTGAAATTTAGAAGATGTTACGTTCTCTGAAACCCCACCAGCTGCTCCTCTCTGGGAGGAATGGAAAATTGTTTTAATTGAGAGGTCATTAACGACCGAGGTAAAGCTGGCGGTTGACTTCTGCTTTTATCTGGATCACTGGGGATTGATGGAGATTCATCTTTGACCTGGCTTACCTTTGTGGTATGCATAAGTTAAGGAAAGTCTGACCAACCCAAGGAGAATACAGTGGCTTTTTACCTACTGCTCCTACAAGAATAAGGAGCGGGCAGTTCTCTTAAGGGATAGAAATAAAAGTTCCCTATCGGCCACCCAGTCCTGCTCCCATGAATACTGCTCTGCTCTTAGGGATCTGGAAACACCTGGAAGGGCTCCTGCCTTCACCTCCGCCCTGGTGCCCATCCCTTATCTTGACTCTCAGCAGAGCTGGCCCCGGGCAACATAGGAAGGGACAGTATGTCTTGAGAGCCCACCTTACCCTTAGCCACTTCCTCTCCCTGGCTGCCCAGCCCCCCTCCCTTGTTGCCTTTCTCCTTTCAGAGCCAAAGTAAACAAGGTATACACATACACAGGTATACACATACACGTGAACATGTGTGTACACACGTACACACACCTGCCCCTGTATTATCCTCAAGAAGGTGCTGATACTCGATATCTGTACCATTAGAGTGTTACCTTCCTGGGTGCTGTCTGCATACCAAGCCTTCTCATAAGGTCCAGGAAAACCTCCCAGAATCTGAGAGTGTGAGGGAGAGGAGTCTGCAGCAGAAGAAGCCCTAAAATCACACTCTGGTTACCTGTCCAGTCACCCTTTGTCCTGTTCGCTCTGTTGGACAGCCCTGACTATCAGATGCTTTGGCTCTTTGTACACTGTCTCATTTCTGATCATCTCAATTTGAAATAATTGAATAACTAGACATCAGTATCTATTTTTTCTAATTTGTGTAATATATAGTTTACCATGTATGCCACCCCAATTCTTTTTTAAATGTATGGGGTGGCATACATGCTAAACTATGGCATTTAAGTATTTACAGACCCAGGAGCTACTGCTTTTTGTGTAAAACCATTATTGACAAGGTCCACAGAGGTTTATAAATCTAAGATTCAAACCTGTATTTGATTCTCCAATAAGGCTATATTGTTGATGTCAATCAGAACTCTCTAATACATGATAGGAATATAGCCACAGTATCACAAAACACGATTGTGCAGAAGTCTTTAGGCTTTACTAAGGCTGCGCATACATAGGATGCAATTGGAACAAGTTTCCATTGAGGCCATTATGTTTTAATTTGGCATTTCAAATGATCCTAAAGATCCCCAAACACAAGGAAAGGCAGCCTGGTCTTGCTCAATCCCAGGTTGAGTAGAGCAGGGAGCAGGAAAGAACAAGAAACTTGGAGAGTGCCAGCAAATCCAGAGAAAAGCTCCAGTCTGATGTATACTTCCTAAAGGACCTCAGTCAGGTCAATGCCTTTCTCAACCCTGGGAGCCAGGGCTGGCTTCAGGTGCCACCAGGTGAACTTGAGGGCCCAGGTGGAGGCTAAGGCAATCCAAGTGCTTGCTTGGTCTCATGGGATAGTATTCGTCATGTGAAACTCAGGCCCTTTGCCTGTGGATTCTACTCTTTCTCAGGAGACACTGCAAACTGGGATATTTATATTTTCCAGTGTTTTAAAGTTGACAACTAATTTGGATTTCTAAACAGTATTATGCCTGAACATTTAGTATCATGCTTAAAATTTAGTCAACAAGGCCATGGAGAAACAGATGCTCTCACAACTGTGCCAAAGCAAAATGGCACAGACACTATGGTGAAGGCTGTAGCTCGACATTACCCTGTTGCCTGCTAATTCTGCTTTCAAAGATCTACTCCAAGGATCAATAGAAAAGATTCATTAGGAATGATGCTATTCTTTGCAGTAATGTTTGTTACCAAAAAAGACTGGAAACAGCCCACATGTTCCCAAACAAGAATCTGGTTGAATAAACCAGACCACATCCACGTGATGGAGTACCGTGAAGCATAAAAACAAAATAAGAATTGCAGAGGGAATGGGTAAAAGTGTGGTAGATCTCAAAGTGTGATCCTGGCACCTCAGGGAACTTGTGACACATGCGAATTCTCAGGCCTCCATCCCGGATCTACCAATTCAGAAACTCCAGTGAAGGGACCCAGCCATCAGTTCAAGCCCTCCAGGGGACTCTGATGTCCGCTCAAGTTTGAGCATCACTAATGTAACATGATTTGTTTATCTACAAAGGGAGGATATGCCTGTTTAGAAACAGGATAACCTATAAGATTAAAATAGGAGATAGGAGAGAATAGAATGGAGAAGAATAGAGGTTAGACTTCTTTTAATGTATTTCTTTGTAGGGTTGATGTTTAAAAAAATGTAATTAATTTAGTTATTTAAAAAGGGTAAAAGTTTGAAGATACAGTCTTCAGAAACTGAGAGCAAATGAAGCACATGCGACTAATCATGTGTCAGGTTGGTGGCGTGACCATGCAGAGGGAATTCCGATTGATTTGAAAGGATGCTCTGGACAGAACTCGGCACATACATCTTTAACTGTTTTCGTGATGATTCTATTTATCATGATGTTACAATTGTTATTCTGAAATTATTGAGCGTGTCATGGAATAAAGCAAAAAAGTATTTATGATAGTGCCATTGAGAATAGGAATTGCTAAGGAAAAGGAAAATACAGACACAAGAGCACTTGAGGCTAATTTAAAATGCTGTACTCCTGAATCTGAATGGGAGCTTGCGTAGCCCTTAGCTGAAATACTTGGGACCAGAAGTATTTCAGTATCAAATTTGGGGGAGGATATTTTGAAATATCTACATGTACTAAATGATATATCTTGGGGATAGCCCCACATCCAAATGCAAAATTCATTTGTGTTTCATGTTCACCTCATTGAGGGTTATTTTATACAGCATTTTTAGTGTACTTGCATCTTGACTGCCGTAAGTTACCAAAGGTCAGGTGTGGAATTATCCACCTGGGGTATCATGATGAGGCTCAGAAAGTTTCAGATTTTGGAGCATTTTGAATTTCCAGATTACAGATACTCAACCTGTACCAGCATGAACTAAGGATGTATTTTATCCTTTAAAAAAACATCATATTTTTTAACCCTGACCACTGAAAAGCCCTAATGACTAACTCAGTAGCAATAGCATCCCTAAAACCCAAATTGTGGTCTTCAAATACTATTTAACACCCAAGAATCAGGGCTCAGTGGAGCCTGAGTGTTTGGTAGACAATACACAAGACTTTCCATGATAATAATGGTCCGGGCATCTTATCCCACCAGGAAACACAAAAGCTATGGAAGAGAATAAGAGTGTTCAAAGAACAATGTTCAAAAGAGGCTCTGTCAACAAAAGATGGGATTGTTGGAGTGTCAGCAAAGACAATGGAAAATGGTCAAAACTCATGAAATGTTTATGAATTTACAGTGGTATTAAAAAAAATGGTCACCTTTGCTGGATGGCAGAGAACCATACATTATTTTGAAAATCAAGAGAAAGAGAATTTACCCTGCACAAACTGCAGTGTAAACCAACAGTTCATAGGAGAAAGTTCCTTTTTCAGAAAGATTCTAACTGATAAATGAAGCAGGAACAACAGAATTAGAAATATCATCTTTTGTAACCCTAATACAGTAATAGATCTCGGTAGTAATTGCCAACTGTGAGCATCACAAAAGGACAGCAAGGCCCTAAGCAACTTAGCAAGACCCTGTTTCAAACTCAAAAATAAAAGAGCTAGGAATGTATCTCCGTGGTGAAGCACCCCCTGATTCAATCCCTAGTATTAAAACAAAAGAAAAGCAAAGCCAGACATCAGGTGCCTCCTGTGGAAGCACAGTGTAATCTATGGTGGATGTTGCCAAATTTTGAAACCTAAATCTGAGCAAGCTCTACTGCTCCACACAGAGTCAGCAGACAGGGTGTGTACCATGGGGCTGTCACCAGCACTACTGAGACTGACTATTCAGGACAATCTGGTTCCTCAACCAGACTGTGGTGATGCCTCTTGGTTGAAGAGCTTGTTTTGAAGGTGCATACTCAAACCCAGATGAAATGATATGAGGCCTAGCATTTGCTTCAGAGTGATGGGGAAGCAGGGGAGGTGGGTTGTAATGATTACGGAGGTTGGATGGTGGACACTGGGATTCACCATTTTATCCTTTCTATTTATATATATACTTGAAGCTTTCCATTATAATAATATGAAATGTTTAACTTAATCCTAGTTGAGTTTAACAAGAAGAATTCTAAGGATTCTTTTTGAATTGGGGGGGTGGAGAATAATCAGAGCATTAAAATCAAGAAAAACCAGGAGCAGTGGCGTGCACCTATAATCCCAGCAGTTCAGGAGGCTGAGGCAGGAGGATTTCAAGTTCAAAGCCAGCCTCAGTAACTTAGTAAGGCCCTAAGCAACTCAGCAAGACCCTGTCTCAAATTTTTAAAAAAGGATGTAGCTCAGTGGTTTAGTGCCCCTGGGTTCAATCCCCAGTACCAAAAAATTTTTAAAAGTTAAGAAAACTCAGTTTAGAATCACATGTCAGTGCAGCATAAAGTAGTTTAAGAAGTCAAAAGTTTGTGAAATCAGAAAAGAGTGAAATGCGACGTGCCACCCAAAGTATCCAGTGACTTTTTTCAAACAGAATTCAGTAGAGACTTTTTAAGATCTAGATTTTTTTTTTGGCTTGAATCATCTGTTCTGAGTGGCAGTCTGAACAGGCACTAGTGTAAAAGCCTGGCTTCTGTACTGCACCTACCTGCATAGACAGCTCTCTTCCTTGTCAGCCTAGGGATCCACCAAAAAGACTGGAGGTGTAGGAAATCTGTGGCCCTCTAGTTTATTCTTTCAAATTACATAATTCAATAGGGTTCTGCACCTTTCATCATCTTTGAAGTATTTTACAGCTCCCATCAGTTTTAGATAACTGATCGCTGTGCAAATGGTTCTTGGCCACAGAAAGCAAATGAATTCTGTCCCATGCAAGAACAATTGAGTTCATTACCCACCCATCCCCATAGAAAAAGCCAGTTTTGTATCTATGTGTAAATTCACTTCAGCATTCATCATTGACCTGTGATACTTTTATTTATCCTTTGATCCAACTGAAATGTCTTAGAACAATCCTCCCTAATAGGTTAAGTAAAATAACTGACAGTGTTCATTTTGTATTTGCATGGAAGTCATGATTGTACCTTTGTAAAGAATTAACCTTTAATGAGCAAATATTTAATATTGCCCAATTTCAGATAAATAGGACTGGGACATCTGCAAGACTGAGGTAGCCAAGGGAATGGAATGGTTTTAGGGAATGGGGGTATGTTCGCGGCAGGAGGCAGGACCCACACATTTGATAGCCAGACATGAACTGCACTTGGGCATTGCTGCCATGCTGGATGCGTGCAGATCAGTAGGCTTGGTCCTGCTCTCAAATAAACTTTGGCTTAGTAGGGAAGAAGGGAATGCAGTAGTTTGACAAACATTGTGAGCCAAATGTGCACACTGTGTTCTCTACCCTGAAGGAATTCCCAGTTAATGTGGGAGATGGACAAACAGAAAGTGTCACTCTCGTTTGGTTGGTGCTGCCAGAGAGGCCAGTACTGGATGTGCTGGAAGCCCAGAGTAGGAGCTGTTGGCCCAGCCCAAGAGCTCACAGAAGGCTCCTTAGGAGAAATAAGGCCCAGACTCTGAATAAGGGAGGCACAGTGGCTCTGCAGCGAAAGGAGTGGGAACAGGAGTGGGCAGGGACAGCAGAAGGCACAGGGCCTTGAAAGAGCCCAGCAGCTGCTTAGCTGCTTTTTATTTTTCTTTTTTTCTTTCTTTCTTTCTTTCTTTTTTTGTGTGTGTGGAAGTTTCCAGGGATTGAACCGAGGGGCGCTTAACCACTGAGCCATATCCCCAGCCCTTTTTAATATTCTGTTTAGAGTCAGGGACTTGCTGAGTTGTTTAGGGCCTCCCTAGGTTGCTGAGGCTGGCTTTGAACTCATGATCCTTCTGCCTCAGTCCCCCGAGCTGCTGAGATTTACAGGTGTGTGCCACTGCACTGCTGCACTGCACCTGCCTTTTTTTTTGGGGGGGGGGCAATGCTGAGGATTGAACTCAGGGCCTCAGGTATGCTAGATGAGTGCTTTACCACTGAGCCACATCCCTAGCCTCATACTAGCTTTAGCTTTCTTGTCTCCTGCATGTACTCCCACCATGTTCTTCCTACATGATGTTTACATTACCCACTTATATTTCCCTCTCACCCTGTTGCATCCACCAGAGAACCAGGAGCACTTTAGGGCAGAAACTGTGTTTTCGTCCTCTTCCTGTTTGTCTTCAGAGTATCTGGAACCAGGTGTTTAGAGGACCCAAATAGTCAGAATGTGTGCAGGTTCTAGGTATATAACAGTGGGCACAGACAATCCCACAAGGGCTCCAGATGTGTGATTACAGAAAGAAATTTAAAGGCCCAAATGCTGTTTCTTTTCTTGTTTTTAAATGAATGTTGATGTCTGTGCTTTTTTGCCTATAAAAGTCTCTCGTTTCCTTGCAGAGTGAAGAGTTCCACATTTACACCCAGTATTGCACCAACTACCCAAGGTATGGATCAGGAAGGAGTGGATCACTTGGGATCACTTTCATAATGTTTCAAGTCAGCATATCCAACATGTGGAGTTCTCAGGTGTTGTCTGGCTGGCCTTGTGCTAAATCCGTGAACAGACACAGAACACGCAGAGAACAGACTAGAGGATCCCAGATATCTACTGATCCCTTTGGGTTTTGGGGCTCCAAGCAGAGACAGTGCAGGGAAAAAAAAATGAGAAAGACATGGAAAGAGACCAAAAAGATTACTAGGTATCTCCAAAGGAAAGCAGGCTGTTGGCCTCGTCTGTCAACCTTTTTCTCTGTGCCATGTCGGTACGATTGGGAAGCACTGCTAATGCATTTATGTAATCCAGCTGGGGAGAAAATGTGTTCTGTTTTTGCTCTGTAAGTTTTATGAACTACACGAGTTTTTATGGAGTTCAGAAAAAGGACAGATTGTGAGAAGCCAAGAGGAGAAAAGGGGGCCCGTGGTCTCCCCTGGGTTGTTAGCTCAGTTTTGCTTACACAAGAAAGGCAGAGCAATTAGGGAACAGCCTGGGCAATATATCAATCAATCAATAAAAGCCCAGGAGCCCAATATCATGGGCCACAACTGTAGGCATTTGATTCTCCAAAAGGCATTTACCAGTCACACTTTGATTCCTAAGCACTGTGTTAAATGCTGTAAATACAACATAAACATTGAACTCCACCTCCACAGCCATTCAGAGAGATTGGGGGATTAAAGCAAGGCCCCAGAGCTTGGCACCTGATAGGCTGTCTGCAAAGTCAAGGTCATCACCACCTTTGCCCCATCCCCAATCCCATTTTATGAATGAAGAAGCTGAGTCTGATAGGCAGATTGTTTCAGGGACCAATCACATAGCTGATGAATGGCCCAGCCTGTGTTTGAGCCAAGGTTCCTCCACTCTCAGACCTCGAGTTGATCCCCCATGCCTTCTTCTTATTATTTTTTTTAAAACCACATGATTAGCAGTCTTGAGTTATCCCAAGGACAGCCAGGACGAGAACTGGGGGGATTCTACACACTCCGTGAGTGGTCTTAGAAGAGTCCCCAAGGATACAGCCGGTGGCAGGATTCATGTGGAAGAGAAGCCGGCATGTGGGAAGGGAAAAAGAATTCTTGCCCTGCTTAGAAACAGATCCAGAAAGCAGGTCTTGTTAAAAGAAAAACCCCATGGAATAGTCCCATGAAGCCAAACCACAGATTTACTGATGATAAAAGACTTCCTATTAGAGGATCTTACTGTCCTTTTCTAAATATTTGTCAGGATATTGTGTTGCAGGGATTTATTGGTTGGTGGCCAACCATGCTTTACCCAAATTTTCCATAAAAAGAAAGAAAGGAAAGCATCCTGCGTGCAAATTGGAGCATTTATCACATATCCCTATCTGTAGCCACACCCCTGCTTCACAGTTTACTCAAGCAGTTTTCTCCCCTGTACTATTTGTTTCCACCTCCATGCTGAAAAATCAGGAAAACTGTAGGGTGCTCCAGCAAAATTCCAGGGTCCTTCAGCCAAAAACCAGTTTACACCACACCCTAATGCAGAGAAATCACAGACTCAGCCCTCGGCTTCTCCACAAAACTTCTTCCTGAGGGAAAAGCCTTCAAACTGAATAATCAACAAAGTTCTGGACTCGATGATCAGAATCTGTGATATGACCTTCCCAAATTGCAAATTCAGAAGATTCACTAAAAAAGGAAAGTACAAAATAAAGGCGGCCTTTTCACATGTCGGGTTGCTTCAGAGTCTGGGGAAAGGCAAAATCCCTTTTGCATGAACATTATTTTCCCACATTTCTTATTGTTACATTTTAACTATACATGATGGTGGGGTTGGTTATATATTTATACATGCACACAATATAACAATATAATTTTGGCCAATATCGTTCCCAGTATTTCCCCTTTCCCTCCCCTCCTCCCACCCCCTGGTCCCTTTCCTCTATTCTACTGATCTCCCTTTGATTTTCATGAAATCTCCCACCCTTTCATTTCCTTTTTCCTTTCTACCTTTCACTTACGATAGAAAAACATTCAACCCTTGACCTTCTGAATTTGGCTTATTTTGCTTAACATAATAGTCTCATTTTTCCTGCAAATTATATAATTTCATTTTTCTTTATGGCTGATTAAAATTCCCTTGTGTGTCTATACCACATTTTCTTTAGCCATTCATCTGTTGATGGTGACCAAGGCTGGTTCCATAGTTTGGCTATTGTGAATGGTTGTAAGAACATTTTCAAGAGCCTGCCATTCAGGGATGGTGGTATGGCTCATGGTAGAGCCCTTGCCTTGTGTGCATGAGGCCATGAGTTCCTGAAGGAGCCTGTCATTCGTGGAGCACAGTTCCAAACTTAGTGGAAATCCACAAGAAATAAAGAACCAATGTCTCAAGCAGTTTATATTCTTTTGGGGGGCAGGGGGTACTGAGGATTGAACTCAGGGGCACTCAACCACTAAGCCACATCCCCAGCCCCCATTTTGTATTTTATTTAGAGACAGGGTCTCACTGAGTTGCTTAGAGCCTTGCTTTTGCTGAGGCTGACTTTGAACTCGTGATTCTCCTGCCTCAGCCTCCTGAGCCACTGGGATTACAGACATGTGTTACTGCACCTGGCCCAGTTTATATTCTTTTGAGGGTAGAACTTAACTAAATGCAATAGTGGAATAGCATGTTATGGAAGATCAAATAATAAGTGTAAATTAAATAGGGTGATTGTAGCCAGGCTAAATTCCACGTACATGCCTGGAATATCCCAGCTATTCAGAAGGCCAAGTCAGGAGGATTGCAAGTTCAAGGCCAGCCTCAGCAACTCAGTAAGGCCTAGCAACTTAGTAAGGCCCTAACCAGCTTAGCAAGACCCTGCCTCAAAATGAAAAATAAAAAGTGCTGGGGGTGTGGCTCAGTGATGGAGCACTTCTGTTCAATCCCCAGTACCACACACACTCAGTCATGTGAAGTCGAAGTTCAAGATACTGAGGTAAGAAGTGATAAGTCTCAATGAGGGGTAGTTAAGAACAGTTTACTGGAGAAAGTGGGGTGGGTTTTTTTTTTGTTTGGTTTTTGTTTTGTTTTAATTTCAAGTCAGGCATCTCTGCTTCTTTCCCAATTGCAGGGTTTTCATATTCACAGAGAAATACTTCTTGTCCCTCGTCCAGTCAGTTTGGTCTGAGGCCTGAGGTTCCCGTGTCTTAACAAGCCAAGAGTGCCAGGTGTTGTGGCCCATCTGACAGATTTTTCTTTCCCCCTTGGATCCAGTCTGGTGACATTTAAGTGGCCTGGCACACTGACCAGTGTCCTCTTTCTTCCTGCCAGTGGTGCCCTGTGATTTCCCTGTGAGGAGGCACAGGCCCCTCCTTCCTTACCCCAGGGAGGAGCACAAACAGGACCAGGTCAGTGTCCTCAGATGCCTAGTCCTGTAATGAGGACTTCTGGGTACCCGAAGCCCGGCATGCTCCCAGTCGGTGACACAAGCCACTCTCCAGCAGCTGCTCAAGCTATCAGGCAGCTAAGGAGCTACCAGGCAGCGGGATCTGAGGGGGAAAAAAAAAAACTAAAAACTGAGAAAAGGTCCCAGGTCATATGATGGGGAGTTTTGAGATTTGGACTCAAATTTATGAATCAGTTTGAACCGATATTCTGAAAACAGATGGGTACAAAGGAGAGTCCAACAACTTAATTATGAGACTTGCATTGAACTTCTTTCCAAGGAGTCTTATTTTGTTGTTTGACTCTGATTGTCTCAATTGATTGTGAAAACATGTTCATGACTTGGGGAATAAAAGGGATGAGATTTTTCCTACCTGCTTCCTTCTGAGTTCTGAGACCATAGATGTTACTGCAGGTGTGTGACCACCCGAGCCCCTCAGCATGCTTTAGTTGTGAGGGGCCAGCACTCTTTCTCCTGTTCCTGGAAGCTGTTTTAGCACCATCCTTAGTTACTTTCAGGGATCTGGGCTAAGAAGGAACTCCAAACCACTTTTCTAATACCCTGCGGTGAGGCACCCTCTCTGAGGACTGAGACCGTCTAGAAGGAGGAGAAGCACCTGGAGGTGGAAAGGGGAATCTATCTGTTCCAGGATTCTCAAATGCAAGTTAACTGTGGGGAGAGGTCTCCCAGAAGAGCCACCCCATAAAGCCAAACAGCTTGTGCATTATACAAAGCTAACCATCAGAGTTGACAAATGCCCTAGTGGGCATTTACTGGCAAGGATCTACTGGGAAGAAGGAACTACTTCTTGGTACAAAGTACCTTAAAACTGACTTGTGAAAACTGTGTGAGATCTGCAGTGTGAGCACTGCTTGAAGATACCAGATAGGGCACACCTAGGGGCTAAAATCCAGCTCAGATCCCTTTTGACAAGCCACATGCCCTGGCGTGCATCTGGTCTTCTAGAAGGAAGGACCTTGCTACTAGAAGCCTTGAGCCCATGGGGCTGCATCAAAACTCAGCTACCCCTGCCCTGCATCACACTGACATAAAAAACAATTGTTCCTCTTGCAGGTCAGTGGCCGTGCTAACCGAGTGCATGAGGAACAAGATGCTGGCCAAGTTCTTCCGGGAACGCCAGGAAACTCTGAAACACTCGCTGCCTCTGGGGTCCTATCTCCTGAAACCAGTTCAGCGGATTCTCAAGTATCATCTCCTTTTGCATGTGAGTCTCTGCCTGCGCTTGAGCACTTTCCAACGGGATGGAGATCTTGTGTGTATATATTAAGTTTTGGGGAAAATACCAGAAAAGGCTGTGGACATATGGAATCAGTTTCCACTCTCATACTTTACAACTGACTAATCTGCTTTGAGGAATTAGAGATATTTATATTCTAGGCCTGCAGCCCCACTGACCACGGCCAAATCAAAAGATTAATCTTAGCTCCGATGGTGACAGGGCTTACGAGTGCCTTGCACTGGGCTGTGACAGTCCAGGCAGGGAGCTATCATCCAAATGGAAAACAGGTTTTTTCCTGTTTTATTTTATTTCCATGAGTACCGATTCAGTAGGAAGTTGAGAGAGAAAGCTGTTTGTCATAGATTGGTTCCTTTATGAGAGCAAAGAGGAGGGGCTGGGAAG